TATATATATATATATATATATATATATATATATATATATATATATATGTGATGTTATTGCCAGTTGTTCAGTGTTATTTATCAAGAGTTCAGTAATCCGACAGCTTGTGGATAATAACTGTCCTTTATTTTTGTACACGATGGCAGACTCCTGTATCGTCTGCCTGAGGGTAGTAGATGGAAGAGTCTTTGTGCTGGGTGGGCGTGGTCCTTCATGATGCTGCGTGCTTTGCGCAGACATCGGCTGTGCTACATGTCCTGGATGGTGTGGAGACTGCTACCAGTGATGTCCTCTGCTGTTTGCACCACCCTCTGTAGAGTTTTCCGGCTCTGGCTGGTGCAGTTCCTGTACCACCCTGTGATGCAGCTTGTCAGCAGGCGCTCAGTGGTGCACCTATAAAAGTTGGTGAGGATGCAGGTGTTCGTACCAAAGGAAGTAGAGTCTCGTTTATTTGGTTTATTTGGTCTGGTTTATTTTCGGTTTTTATTTTTGTCAGTAGTGGACCCTCCTGGGTCTTCTTCCATGGAGCCCATCATGACTCAAAATGTGACTGATGGTGGGAACAGGAAGTGGCCTACCTTGATTGTAGAATTCAGCTCAAGTGGTTCAGATGGTTTCCTTTGCTCTTTTTCTACCATCTGTCCATTTGATCGACCTGGGGTTGCGTTTCCTCTTGCATCCACATCGTGGGAGGATGCTCACAGCTCCATGAACCTTCTACTTTTCATAATATTGCCAGCTGTGGTCAGAGGAACAGGGCGCTGCTTGGAGATGGTCTCAGCTATTTGCTCCCTTTAAATCAACTGAATGGATGAAGCTTGAAGGCACCTGCGATGCTAATCATGTCAAACACGTAGTTTGAAACACGATTATAAGGCAAAGATTATTAATCTCTTTAAGGCGCTGACACATCCGTCCATTTTATTTAAATAAATAAATGTTTTTGTTTTATGTTTTGTTTACTCCATCATATACATGAGACTATGGCATTTCACGAGAAACTGAGCATTGCTTCAAGGAGCTGTAAGGGAACCAACAACATGTTAAGATCCACCGAGCGCTTCTTGCACCTAAATGACAAACGGACAACAGATGAGCTGAATCTCAGGCGTCCACTCCAAACCAGGGTGCCTCTGGTCTCCAAAAAACATGAGGATAGAGGAGAAAATGAAGACGAGGACGAAGATGGGAGGGTGTGCTTGTGGACGGGGGGGGGGGGGGGGGGGTAAGAGCAGCAAGCCGAGCAGATCAAAGAAAATAACATGGGAGAGGATATGAGTGCTTTGAGAAGTAATATAACCGAGATAGCATCTGTTTTCCGTAGCATGCAGGAGGCTCGAGACAAGCCCAGGAAAGAGACAACGGAGAGCGGGTGCACTTTAGCCGAGGATAAGACCGAACACAAATGGGTTATTAGGAAGCCCTCAAAGTCAGATGTGGCCAACATTAAAGCGTCTCTTTTGAAATGATCCACGGCTGGAGATGGAGGGGCTTTAGATGATGCTCGCAGTGATTAATAAATAATACGGGAGATGATTTTAAGGGCAGGGTGTCTACTTGAGCAGGTCCGTATTTTGTTTTAAAAGGAGATGAACGAAAGAAAAACACTAAATGTCATCATTGCACGCTGCAGGAGAACTTACCAAACCCCCAGGAGAACTTTTTATTACAAAAAGTTTAGAGTTGAACCGTTTGGTCAAACTTTCAAAATAACATTATGGTTGATTTCATGTTAGCATGTGTGTTAAATGACCCTCAGCTACTACCACTCCAGATTCTAGATCAGAATCTAGAAAACTGACTGGATCACAGCCACTTTTGTGTTTTCTAAAGTCAATTGGCTATAGCAGCCATCTTGGATTGTGTTGGCTCCAAATGTTATTCAGTTCAAAGATTCAAGGACTCAAGGTTCTTCAGTGTCGTTCACATCACGAGGTGGAATGAAACGATGTACACAGGGTCCCAGTTACATCCAACAAAAATACAACTTGTAAAGAAAAACAAGGCTGTCGCGATAAACAATAAATCAATTATTCGCATGATAAATGAAAAGTATCTACCTCATTTTCATTTATCGTTTCTTCGTGTCTCTCGTTCTACTGAAGATGACAAAGGGCTCAGCTCCGGTGATCTTCACTGACCCCTCCCTTTCGCTTTAAAATCCATTTTAATTGTCCAAAATCGCGTTTTCGGATTGTTAAAAGTAGCTAAGCTACGAGCTAAGCTAAAAAGGCCGACTTCGGGGGGGAAAAACCTCTGTCTTGTTGAAGCTCTAAAATTCACGGTTGAAATCCGTGCCTTTGTCTAAAAAGTTGTTTTTCTTTGCAAAAAGAAGCAGAGAACTTTTTTTAACTGTTTTTTTCATTAAAAGCTTTGTGTGAAAAATGCTAAAGAGCTCAAACCACACCGAGCGTCCGCCATTTTGAGAACCGAAAAACATGAAGGAGAGACAGCCCATGTCACGTCAAGGGGCCTCCCTTCCATTTTTCTTAAAGAGACACGCTGCTCGCTCCCTCGCTATCCATCCTTCGATTCAAACAATCTTATACTACCATCCGCTGGTCAAAAAAAAGGCACTACACACAAAATTAACCAACATTTCTTCTTAAATTTGACAATTACTAATTATTGTCAAATTTCAAACAATATTATCGTTTATCGCAATAATTTCTGAGACAATTAATCGCCCAGTAAAATCTGCTATTGTGACAGGCCTAAGAAAAACAGTAGTAAGATCCAAGACATGAACTAAGAACACACTAAGCACTAGTAGTACAAAAACAATGCGCCAAACAACAGCAGCACGAACTTGAGTCTGTGTGAGCAGATGAGGATGAATGAGTCAGAGTCAGAGTTTCTTTATTGTCATTCGCACCTCATGTGGTACATGTGGTGGAGCGAAATTATGTACACAGGGTCCCAGTTACATCAACAATAAAATGTATAAGAAAAACAGTAATAACATCTAAGATATGAACTAAGGAAAACATCAACTAAATATACACTAAGCACTCATAACATAAAACATTGAACATCAGCACAAACATGAACATGAGTCTGTGAGCAGATGTGCACGCATGAACACCTCAACATTTAAACAGATCAGCAGCAACATGAAACAGATCAGCAGCAACATGATATGGTTTTTCACAGTAATTATTCTGGTTAGAGATTCATGAGTCTAACAGCCTCAGGGTAGAAGCTGTTCCTCAGTCTAGTGGTTCTACACTTAATGCTCCTCAACCTCCTTCCTGAGGGGAGTGGGGCAAAAAGTGTGTGTGCTGGGTGAGTGGGGTCCTTCATGATGCAGGTGGCCCTCTTCCTGCATCTGGAGGTGTAGATGTCTGTGATGGGGGGGAGGCTGATTCCGACAGATTTCTGTGCAGCCTTCACCACTCTCTGCAAAGCTTTTCTTTCTGCAGCTGTGCAGCCTCCATGCCACACATTGATGCTCGAGCACAGGATGCTCTCCACTGCACACCTGTAGAAGGAGGTGAGGACTGAGCTTCCCAGACCAGCTCGCCTCAGCCGTCTGAGGAAGTAGAGTCTCTGATGAGCTTTCTTGATCAGGCTGGTGGTGTTGTTGCTCCAGCTGAGGTTGTCATTCATGTGTACACCCAAGTACTTGTAGCTGGAGACCACTTCCACCGCAGATCCTCTTATGTTCAGTGGGGTGTAGGTGTTTTTGTTCCTTCTGAAGTCCACAATCATCTCCTTTGTCTTCTTCACATTGATGTGAAGGTTATTCTCTTTGCACCAGCTCTCCAGGTGTTCCACCTCTTGCCTGTAGCTGGACTCATCATTGTTTGTGATGCATCCCACCACCGCTGTATCATCTGCAAACTTTACAATGTGACAGCCTGGATGGGTAGCTGCACAATCATACGTGAGCAGAGTAAACAGGAGGGGACTCAACACACATCCCTGAGGAGAGCCAGTGCTGAGGGTTATGGTGGAGGAGGAGAGGTTGTGGATCCTCACTAACTGTGGTCTGTTTGTTAAAAAGTCTAGTACCCAGTTGCAGATGGAGGGGCTTAGTCCTAGTGTGGATAGTTTGTCCATCAGGGTTTGGGGGATCATGGTGTTGAAGGCGGATGTGAAGTCCACAAAGAGCATACGGACGTAAGAGTTTTTCTGCTCCAGGTGGTTGAGTGCAGTGTGGACCACAGAGGAGATTGCATCCTCTGTTGATCGGTTCTCATGGTATGCATACTGATGAGGGTCCTCGTTGATGTTGATGGTTGTTTTGATGCGAGTCATGACCAGTTTTTCGAAGCATTTAGCGACTATCGGGGTGAGGGCCACTGGCCGATAGTCATTCAGACCAGTCACTGTATGAATGAACACAGCAACATGAAATAATCAGCATCATGGATAGTCAGCAGCACAAATCAACCTCCAAGTGACATCACAGTGACTTTTTATAGTAATTTTCAAAGTGATAATCCTGACTAGGGATTCGTGAGTCTATACAGCCTCAGGGTAGAAGCTGTTCCTCAGTCTAGTGGTTCTGCACTCAATGCTCCTCAACCTCCTTCCTGAGGAGAGAGGGGCAAAAAGTGTGTGTGTGCTGGGTGAGTGAGGTCCTTCATGATGCAGGTGGTCCTCTTCCTGCATCTGGAGGTGTAGATATCGGTGATGGTGGCGAGGCTGACTCCAACATCTTCTGTGCAGCCTTCACCACTCTCTGCAGAGCTTCCATTTCTGCAGCTGTGCAGCCTCCATGCCACACGTTGATGCTGGAGCACAGGATGCTCTCCACTCAGTTCAGTTGGCTGTGGCAGCCATGTTGAGTCAGACCGACTTCAAAACTTGATCAGTTGTAGCTTCTCCTCAAAATTATTGCAATCTGCAAGTTTTATTAGAATCCATCCAGTGATTTATGACATATTTTGCTAACACTACAATCAAACGAGCGCCGATGTGAATAAACAACAACATCTTTGCTGATGTATAACAAAGAAATGTTAAAACTATCGGTCCAAACGAACGTGCACGTTCAGCTGCCTTCAGGCTCAGGCCTCCCCTGCAAAAGAGATCTGTGATCTCAATGGGATTTTCTGGTTTAATAAAGGTTATTAATAAATAATCTTTAAGATAAAAACACACAATGGTTAAAAAAAAAGTTAAAATTTGAGGCTCTGTTCAGGTTTCTGACTGTTTTTCCATTTACAAAGAAAAAAAATAGTCCTACGTCTCTCTCTTTGAAAAGCCTCCTAGAAATCAAATAATGTCCTTCCTGATTCGTACAGCGAATTGGATCCAGACTTCACTGGTTCGAAACTCTTCCTCCCTCCCTCCCTCTCTCCGTTTCCTTCCTCCAGCTGCTTTATTTATTGCAGGTCCGGTAGCCTTCTGCAAAGCCATTACTGGCAAATATGTACCTTTTTGAATAATCAATAAATAATTATTTTATTATTTAAAAGGCTGGTGTGTGAAAATGAAATGAGTTTTATTATATAAATCTTTCAAGCGTGATGAACGGGTGCACTTGTAAAGTTGGACGGGGGGGGGGGGGGGGGTGTTCGGATGGGCCCGCCGAGCTCGTTCGACATGAAAGGTCGTAAATATGACAGTTGTGTCTCTTTGGGACTGTCAGCAGGAGTGCACGGGGCGTTGGGGGGAAAGGGGATTGTAAATTCAGAGAGATTAATTAACCTGTGCATTTGCAATCCAGCCCTGCATCCTTCTTTTTTTGTACAGCGCTGCCCATATTTGATGAAAGGTGAGGGACCCGGCCGCAGTCGGCCCGGGAAGTCTCGACGGCTCATTCCAAATGAGTTATTAACAGAATTTTTTGAATAGATGGAAAAATTGTAGCCTGGCCATTTAGTGTCATAAAGGCAGGGTTGGCGAGGCGGCAGGGGCCTCCCAGGGACAGGAGGCAATACCATTACAATCAAATCTGAGATGGAAGAGGGATTGAGCTGTCCGTTCTGAATTTTTATATTGTCGGAGGGCTGGGGAGGAAATAATGCCGTCCTGGAGTGTATTAACCTCTGGCTGGGGGAGCGAGGACGAAGGCAAGCCAAGGGAGCGATTTGAGATTGGACAGCGGGGATAAAGAGGAGGGAGGAGGGGAAGGAAGGGGCCAGACAGAGTTTCATGACTTCTACTGGGGAAGAGGGAGCGAGGCAGGGATATGAGACGACCAAGAGCCAGAGCAGGAACAGAGAACGCTGGGAAAGAAATAATGCAATAAGGAAGAGAGGCGTGGAATGGGAAGGATGTGGAAGCAAGAGGAGCGCTGGTTGTGGGAAAAAAATGAAGGTGAAAGAAGAACCCCTAACGGGACCGTGGCAGTGAAGAGCCCTGCAGTGGAACGAGAAACACTGTTGAAAACGTGTGCATTAAAGTTTTCCATACCGATTCAGCTTTCCACAAGTATTTAAATAACAAGCACAGTAGTCCCTCGCTACTTCGCGGTTCGTTTGTCGCGGACTCGCACCATCGTGGTTTTTCAAAATAAGATTGGACATGACGCACAGTTGACCGACGATCACGATCGGCACGGACGTTTTATTTGAAATTAATCATTTTAAATATTTAACGCCCGCTCCACATTTGTGCAGCCCAGAACTGCAGAGTAAACTTCCTGCTGCAGCTGATCAGCTGTTCTCCGTGCAGAGCGGAGAAGTGGGCGTGGCCAAGCGCGCTTGCAGGTGGCAAAGAGCAGTGGAGGCAGGGAGCTGAAATCATGACATTCTGAGCCCTTTTAGAGCCTTTAGAAACATTATTTAAAATACTGCAAGAGTGTGGGAAGGGTTTAAAACACCTTAATATATAAATACTAAAATAAACTACTACTTAGTACTTGTACTACTACTCCTACTTCGCGGTTTTTCACTTATCGCGGGTCTTCAGGGTACGGAACCCCCGTGATAAACGAGTTACTACTGTAAAGACTAATATGACACTGAACAAACTTTTCTGCACTGATGTTTATCTTGATTTGTAAAACTTGGGCCGTTTGATTATTGTTTGCTTGACTGGTCAGGAAAGAGTTGTTGTTCATTCATGCATTCAACCTTTATTTAGACAAGTAAATCCCATTGAGCCTCGAGTAAGTGTGCGTCTAGAGAATGATAACTTTATAACTTAATTTCCATCCATTTTTTTTTATACATTTTTCCCCATCAAAGTCCAGATCCTAAGAAAATAATCTGTTGAACTTTGTGAACTTTGTATTGTTTTAGTGACAGCTGGTGCTAAAGAGCTGCAGAACTGTGGCCTGTTTGCTTACTATATATATA